CCGAAATTTATCGTCAAGTGACAGAAGTTTACGGTGAATACGCGATAAGTGATGGAATGGTGAGAAAGTGGGTAAGAATGTTTAATGCAGGTCGAACAAATGTCCACGCCGAGGCTCGGAGTGGTCGGCCTTCTGTTGTCACCGATGATTTGGTAAGGAAAGTTGATGAAGCAATTCATGAGAACAGACGCTTCACAATGACAACTCTTTCAGAGGCATTTCCACAAATTTCACGTACCGTTTTGTTCGAAATTGAGTCTGACCGCTTGAATTATCGCAAACTGTTTTCCCGATGGGTTCCAAAAATGCTCACTGATGTTCACAAAACAAAGCGACTTGGTAGTGCCCTGACCTTTCTCACGCGGTACAGTGATGAGGGAGAAAACTTTTTAAAACAAATTGTGACAGGTGATGAAACTTGGGTGTGTCATTTCACACCAGAATCGAACCAACAATCGATGGAGTGGAGACACACTCATTCTCTGAAAAAACAAAAGTTCAAAGTGACAATGTCATCACAAAAAATCATGTGCACTGTCTTCTGGGATAGGAAAGGCGTTTTGCTTACTGAATTTCTTCCCAGAGGTGAAACCATTAATGCGACACGATATTGTATTGTGAGACTTTAACAAAACTAAAGCGTGCCATTCAAAACAAACGAAGAGGAATGCTCAGTAAAGGAATTGTGTTGCTCCATGACAATGCTCGGCCCCATACTGCTGGTGTCACTCAATCGTTAATTCGACAGTTTCATTGGGAGCAATTCGATCACCCGTCGTACAGCCCGAACTTGGCGCCGTCCGACTATCACTTGTTCCTGCACATGAAGCGCGAGCTTGGTGGCAAGCGCTTTGGATCTGACGATGACACGAAAAAAAATGCTGTGGAGTCGTGGTTATCGAAACTGGCGGGAAGTTTCTTTGACGATGGTATACAAAACTGGTCACCCGCTATGACAAGTGTTTGATCATTGGCGGAAACTATGTTTGAAAAATAGTTTAAGACATGTATTTTCATGTAAAAATAAAATTGGATTCGAAAAAAAAAAAAAATTGTTTTACTATTTTTTTTCAAAACTTTGTTTTCCAATACGCCCGCTAGATTAAAGAGAAGTATTAGCCCAAAAATGAAGCCTTAAACATTTATGAAGAAATGTTTTTATAAGTACACAAATAAATATAGCTTCTTTTTTGGTAAATTTTGTACCTTTAGTCATAATTGCTTTATTTCATAAAATTACGTTCATTTTTTAATTGTATCATTTCTGCATGCTATCTTACCAGATTTAAATTGATGATCTATAATCTGGAAAAACCTCTAATCCGGAATTGCTAACGTCTCAACGAGTCCGGATTACGAACTTTGTACTGTACAACTTTTAAATTAAAAGATTACATACGTGAGTATTAAAGTGAAAAAGCAAATCATAGTGAATGGTAACATACTCTGAGCAACTGCTTTCATTTTCTTCATCATTTATATGCTGCCTACGATAATATTCAGCTTCAGGTACAGGTGAACTGCTACTGAACGATGTGGTATAAACACGATTCCTTGAAACTTCTGGACTCTCAATGTCATTTGGCACACTTAAACATGTGATATCTAAAGTGATTCTAAGGTCATCGAGATTAACTTCATTGCTCTCAGTATCCAAACAGTTAATAATATCATCTGCAGCATATTAAAAATAATTAACTTGCACATATCACTAAAAATGCATATAAAATATATAGAAATTTTATTTAATATAAAGAGGTAAAAATAATACATTTTAAACTAGAAATACATTATAATTTAAATGAATATATAATAAAATTATTTGGTACTCACTTAAATATACAACATTCACCTAATCGCTGAACAGCAGTAGTGAGCTCTGAAGGTTCATACAATGCCTTTGTTAAATTTCTCTTTAATTTACGAACCCCCCTACTTTTAATTCACTTCATTTTAAATACATTTGAAATTTATTATTATAATTATTTAATTCTTCTCTCCCTCCCCCCCTTTTTTTTTTGTGCTTCCTTGTTTATTCACTCCATGAAAAACACATGTCTTGAATGTCATAATCATATTTTGACTTACCTCAATATTTCTCTTTCTTTTGAATGAATTTGGGTTTCATTGAAGTTCAATCACTTAAAATTTAAATACATGTTGGAAAACGCTACCTATTCAAATTCCTAAGAATATAAAGAAGTATATGGAAACTATCATTTTTAGTACTTAAGCTGAAGGAGGTTTCAGCTTAATGAACAATACAAATTCCAACCCTTACGTACAAATCTTTTCAAAAAAACATCACTCAGCCAGAACCTCCTAGCAGATCATTAATGTGAAAGAAAAAGAAAATCTGTTTTCTGGCATATATTGTATCAAATAATTAAATTTACTCATTAGTTATGCACGATATTTTATAATTTTGATCGTATTTTAGAATTCTTTTACAAATTTCTGTATTTATATATAATTTTTTGCATTTAGTGTTTTTGGAAAAAGTAAAACATTTAGTTAAGTTTGATATTTTGCTTTTAGAAGATGAAATTGCAAGCTCTTTGCTAAAATTTTCATAGCTCATTACAGATTAAATGTGTTCTAAATACAAATATATAACATGTAGAAAATATATGACTGAAGAGCTAAAAAATATGATACACTTATAAAGGATAAAAAATATGTTCATTTCTAATTTAAATTATTTATTGACATAAACAACTACATTCAAAGACATAATGTATGTTCTATTTTAAACATTATTATTATTCTGAATGACTATCAAATATCTCATAATTTACAAGAATATAAAATTTAGAATGTTTAGAATTCTGCTCTTTCAACTATTTCAAATAAGAAGATAAAACTACAACACATTATTAAAAGCTCATTTTAATAAAGAAAGAATAAGATTTTCAGTTTAATAAAAATCTTATTTCTATTTTATTTAAATATTGTGAATATATTTTTCTATATTTATTTTTACTACAATTCCTTCAGATACCTAATTCATTCAATTACTGGAATAACAATGGTATTCAAAGCAAAAGAAAACCAAGTAGTTTAAAGTTTCCAAAAACACTAGCATAATAAACAGTACAGTTTCTAACCATACATATGGAATTACTCACTTATATTAAACATCTGCATAATAATATGAATTATTAAATGATTGAAATTAGTGGTGCATTATTAAGTTAAATCAAAACATACTTATTCAAATGTGGAATAAAATATAATGCAAAGTAATAAAAGCTTTTTAGTTTTGTTTCATACTAACAAATAAAAATAAAGCAATTAAATTCAATAAAAAATAATGCATTATTATTCAAAATAGCTAAATATAAGATGGAAATATTTTTTAGCATTTAGGCACAGCCTATTGGAATAGATGATGCTCAATCATAAATTATCAACAGCATAAAATAATTTAATAATACAATTTTTTTAAATCAGTTCATATGAAATTAAGTAACTGATGGGAAAGAAATATTCATATTTGTTACATCTAATGGCAAATAATGAACATAAATTCTGCAGCTTCAAAATTTGTACACTTAATGCTAGGCTAGAAATGGATGTCATATTAAAAAAAATTATTGTATCATTTCCTACACGCATAATATTCAGCTATCTACCCATCTATAAGTCACATCAATGTCTATTGTCAAATAATGCAGAAAGCTATTTGCAATAATAATGCATAATTAAATTATACATATCACAACCAAATAACATAAAACTACATATATAATTGACATTTCACAATCTATGCTTCACAACTATGAAATTATGCCTGTTGCTTCAAAAAGTATCTTGACAATTTAAAAAACAGACCTAAAAAAGCTTATTTAATGGCATTGAAATTATCAAAATGAAGAAACATGTTTGCAGTACTTCTGTAAACCTTTTTCAGTCTTTAATGATGAATAGTTCAATATCTGTCCAGCATAGATTAAATCACGCTTTGAATGCACGATCCTAACAGAGGGTGATGCCAAATATCAATTAGCACATTTCACAACTGCTTTTTGGAATGAAATTTTCAGTCAGCATAATTTGTTCCTAATTTGGACCTAATTTGAAAATTTTTAGTATAACTAAAATAGGATAAACTAATCTTAATAAGATCATTTAGCACTTAAAATTAAAAACGACAGCATGCAAACTCTTCTCTAAGACAGCATGCAAACTCTTCTCTAATGTTTTACACAGTTTTACGACAGCTACCTACTTACATTCAGTCATTATTTTGTTTAACTCACATACTCTCAACATGTTAAAAATCATTTCAGAGGCCTCATGAAAATTGTGTCTGCCTGAATGCTGCAGAGGGCACCAATAAATTTTAGCATACTTCATGAAATTCATTGTATACTTGGAACTGAAGATGACTTATATTTGCATGAAAATATGCATTCAAACTATTGATTGATCACTAGACAAAGCACTCTAAAAAAATTTAAGCACAGTGCAGACAAGAGGAATACAATTAATAAGATATCTAACATATAAAAAAGTAAAATAGTAATAATAAATTAAATATTCTAATATGATAGAAAATGCGAAACTTACTCAAACAAGTTGGAAGGGAACTTTCATTCAAAGGACAGCTTTTCATTTGTTGTTTAGATGAGCGAACAGAACATGAAAAATGAACAAACAACGGCGGATGAATATTCTTATCTTGAAGAGAAATATGATCTGTATCTTTGTCAATCGAGGACAATGAAGAAGCTGTATTCAAACAGCTTTTTGCACTTATGTCATCTTCACACATATTATCTGTTCTGTCAAATTCACCATCTAAGAGATTAGTCAAATGAAATACATGAACATCTATCTATCTATCTAGACTGTGTCCACAAAAGATCTTGATTGGTTTTATTTTTCACAACCCTTGGTCTTAGACTCATACTTCCAATTACAAAAATGTTTTAAATCATGAAAATATTCATATTATGGTAATTTAAAAAGTTGATTTTGTAGAAGTAAAAAAACTAACTCCCCCCCCCATCTTCCAGTTCTTGTAGATATATTTAGTAGAAGTTTGCACTCAATCTAAAAACTAAAATACAAAATGTTTGACTCCCCTATACAAACATTTATTGTAATATTTAATTTCAAAGTTTGGGAATTTTTCAGGGCTAAAAAAGAGTACTTTCTGATCATCCACACCTCCACCAAAAAATCATAAATTCATTCCCAACTTTGGACAGCAACTGCAAACTTATTAGTGACAATTTCTCCACCAAACTAGCACATATAGCAAAGAATCATGAATGGTGGCCTGCTAAAAATTTCACAAAAGGGTAATCATCCATAAAATTTCAAGAAGAATTATCAATAACAAGTGTTACTTTTTTCAAGAAATAATCTTTCATTTTTTTTTTTTTTTTTTTTTTTTCATTGTTGATTTTCCCATGTACACAGTGAAAAAAACCCCAGAGAACTGTACAAACTTGGAACCATACACAAGTTTGGCACTACACATCAGAAAACAATAAATAAAGCGAATACCAGATGTAAATAAGATACTGGTACTTTTACATCAATAGATTTATAGTCTAACACATTACTTGCACTTTTTCACATTGCTTTTCTATAAAATTTGGTCACTTTTGAAGCACAGCTTCAGAGAGCGAATTTTTGCATTCTTTATTGTGTGGAAAAATGGAATATTTTTGAAAAAATACACTTTCTTTTTATTAGACAGCAGACTCCACACTCCCATTATGATTCATTACAAGAAAAACAAATACAACATAATGCAAAAAGAAACACTAATTAGAAAAATAACATTGGAATTTCAAAAGTGCAAACAAACAGATGTGTGCCACATAAATACCTGGGTTACCATATGAATAATATTTAGCAATATCATAGGTTGCAGATAATTATTTTGAAAACATACTGCATTGCCTGATGAATATTTTTGCTAACACTTTTCACTTGGAGAAAAATAATTACAAAGTATTCTAAAAATTAACCCTTATCACTTTTCTTAAGAAGGTTAATTGAAAAATACAGCAGAATGACAATTCAAGGCTGACCTATATTTTCTCCCATTCAGTGACACACTGGCGGAAATTGCTAAAGGCAGATGTGAGTAAGCAGCGATAGCAACCACAAAAATAGAAGGCAGGAAAATGTGTAAATTAATATAAGTGTGGGTTACAGTAAGACGTGTTGTGTGTATGCAAATTTTGGAATCCCTTAGTTGTTCATCATAACAGGTGAAACAGTCACATGATAGCACTGATAAGAGATACGGATCAGATGTGTATTCACCATTGTTGTTCAAAAGTAAAACTTAACAGGAGAGAATTAATTGAGGATTTTCAGTATGTCTTCCCGATATCACTTAGATGATTTTTCGTATGTCTGTATTACTGGCAAGATTGAAAAAGGATGAAAAAGTAACAGATGTTGCTTTATGAATTTGACGTCAGCTAAAGTGTTGTTTCAAGGTTTCGGAAATCATTTTTAACAAATGGAATGTGTAGCAAAAGTCATGGAGGAGGTTTGGTTCACAGTATGACACCTGCAGAAGATAAGTACATAGTACTATCAACAAAACAAAACTGTCGTAGCACAGCTACTGGGGTAGCAAATCAGTTACTTCCTGCTACTGGCAAGCAAATCTTCTGAAAAACTGTAGCCAGACATTTGCATCAAGGCGGACTATACTTCCATCGTGTGCATTCCATTGCCTACATATCACCACTCTGACCATTTTGATGGTGTCACTAGCATCGCAGTTGGAGAGAAGATAACTGGGCTTGTGTACTATTCTCATATAAAAGTAAGTTCAGTCTCTTTTCTGATTGTGAACAACAACTGATGTGACTTTGGCAAACATACAGGAAAGGGACTAGTATCCTACATGTAGTGTCATTGTATATGCTAGGATCATGATCAATGACCATACGTTGCTCTTCTTACTAAAGCTAAATTTGGCCAACGCTACATTCATGATGTTCCACTGCCTAGCATTCGCATGTTCGGTGTGCTGTCGGTGATAAAGTGATAAATTTGTTTTCATGGATGTTTCATTGTTCGTTTTCATCAAATTCTTTTCAATGCATAAGATTCTGATCATGATGATAAGATCATCATTTTGCACTAGGATAGCTAAATATTCATCACGAAATCTTTTGCGGAAATGTTCTCTTAAGTTCTGCAAGAACTTGTATCTTTTTGTCAGATTAATGGTATCCAGGTAGTCTAAGTCAGGCACTCCGACGTCGTGCACATCTTGTAGAAACATTGAAGGAGTTAGTACCGTCGTAAGATCATTTGGATCTTCTGAAAGGTACGTAAGGGGTCTTGAGTTAATCACTGATTCGATATCACAAAGTATAGTCAACATTTCCTCGTAAGAGACACAGGACTTGCCGAGAACATTTCTCAACATCTTCTTCACTGTTTGTACCAACCTCTCCCACCAACCGCCCCACCATGAAGCAGTTGGGGGATTAAACTTCCACTGTATTCTCATACTAGTTGAATGACATTCTATTTCTTTCCAATCTATCGATCTTAACAGATTTTCAGTTCCAACGAAATTAGTGCCATTGTCGCTGTAAATAATACCTGGACGACCTCTTCTGGCAATAAATCTCCTTAATCCCAAGATGAACGCATTTGTTGATAAACTTTCTATCAGTTCAAGATGTATCGCCCGATAGACCGCACAAGTAAAGAGCAAGATCCATGCCTTTTTTCCTTTTCTTAAATAAAGAGGACCGGCTGCATCGACTCCGGTCACTTCAAACACCAGAGCATCTCTAACTCGATCTTCAGGAAGAGGTGCTGGAACAGTCTCTATATTCTTTGCGCTATATCTTCTACAGCGAACACACTTCATAAGAACTTTACGTACTGTTTTTCTTCCTCTCAGGACCCAGAATTTCTGTCGAATATTGGCTAGTACGAATTGCACACCAGCGTGGGATAGTCGCAAATGGTAATCTAAAATTAACCTATGAACTAAGTTATGATTTGAGGGCAATACAATTGGACAGAGAAAATTTTCTTCTTCCTCTCTTCTAGTAATCTTGGTCTTTAACCGAATAAGGCCATCTGAGTCAAAAAAGGTACAAAGGTTGCTAACTTTAAGTTCTTTGCCAAATGCTTCTATTTGTATTATCTTGCATATTTTCTTTTCTACAGTTTCTATTTCAGGGACTGTGAGTTCTCCTGATTGTTTAGAATCTGGTCTTCTGCAGTTGTTGATAAATCTGCATATCCAAGCAGTTATTCTTAACATTTTATGGTAAGATGAATATTTCTCAAAAAAATGTTCTACCCTTTGCGTATTTAGTGCAGAAATGACTGATTTCCTTTTTTCTGAATTCACTATTTCCATGTCCGGTATTTCCCTTTGTCTAGGCCATTCTTCCTGATTTTTCTTCAGCCAGTCGGGGCCCTCCCACCATCTAACTACTAAAAGTTGTTTAGCGGTGCAACCTCTTGATGGGAGGTCAGCTGGATTTTTTGTTCCAGCAATATGTTTCCACGTTTTTGGATCCGTCAGTTTCCTAATCTCCCTGACTCTGTTTTCCACAAAGACAGCCCAGACAATCTCTTCCCTTTGAATCCATGTCAAAACTGTTGTAGAATCCGTCCAAAAATGCGTTTCCACATTTTGCCATTGCAAACCATTTAAAACAGAAGAGCATAGTCTGGCACCTATCGTGGCAGCTATCAATTCCAGACGAGGGATCGTAATAGATTTTACGGGAGCTACTCTAGACTTCGATGCCAACAGATGAACTTCAACTCCAGAATTCGTCACAGTTCTCAAGAAAACTGCAGCAGCATACGCATTACTACTGACATCACAGAATGTGTGAATGCTGCAGAACTTCCTATTGTCCTTGCTGGAATGTATCCAACGTAGGAGGGGATATTTCTTTTAAGAGAAAAAGGCTTTTATACCAATTCACAAAATTTTGTTTTGTACTCTCGTCGACTTCAGTATCCCAAGAAATTCCTGTTTTCCATAGGTTCTGCAACAATATTTTAGGATACAAGAGAACAGGACTCACAATACCAATAGGATCAAATATTTTGTGTGTTACAGCGAGAATTGTTCTCTTCGTTATTATACCCATTTCAAAATCTTCTAGCCAATTCAGATTCAAAGTTAAATTATCTTTCTGACAGTTCCATAACAGACCCAATACGGGTGAAATAGTTTCCTGTTTCAGGTTATCTTCATTATGTAACCAACCTCGAAGATTAAACTTTCCTTCATTCATTATTTCTCGAGATTTTTCGATGAACTGAATCATCTCGGATTCTTTGTCAAAACTGGCAACAACGTTATCTACGTAGAAGCTACGCAAGAGTTTAGCTATTATCTCCGTATCATATGAAGAATTTTTCACGTACTTTTGTAGATGGAATTCTATAACAGCTGCCAAAAGGAAAGGACTACTCTTAACCCCAAATACTACCCTAGTATGACGAAATATTTTCGTTTTCCTTTCTTCCACATCATTCCACCAGAAAAACCGAAGCCAGTCTCTATCTTGAGGCCTTACACTGATCTGTAAGAAAGCCTTTTCAATGTCTGCTATAACAGCAAACTTGCCTTCCCGAAATCTCAACAAAAGAGATGGAATTAGTTCTATCAAATTTGGTCCACACTCCAAACACTGATTTAGAGAAGGAGACGATTGTTTCCTCGCAGACGCATCAAACACCGGTCGAATTGGTGTTGAGCTATTTTCTTTGATCACCGGTCTATGCGGTAAATAATGTCCAAAGTCAACCGCAATATTTTCTTTAACTTCTTC